AGTCTGGATAATAGAACGACAATACTGTTAGTTTGGGTTTCTTTGTTAACCGAGTGTGGATAATAAAACGACAATACTGTTAGTCTGAGTTTCTTTGTTAACCGAATCTGGAGAATAGAACGACAATACTGTTAATCTGGGTTTCTTTGTTAACCGAGTCTGGATAATAGAACGACAGTACTGTTAGTCTGGGTTTCTTTGTTAACTGAGTCTGGATAACAGAACGACAATACTGTTAGTCTGGGTTTCTTTGTTAAGACTGGTAGACATGTAACTTATATATATATATATATGTGAAACATATTAGACAAGTTTCACAAGGATATATATATAAAATACGCTTGAAACTTGACTTCAGGGCCCATTGGTACTTAAAATATATTAATACTCAGTATATTTAGTCCTTTTTCTTTTATAGCTTTAATTATATATGTTATAATAAGTAACTTCTACCTTCATAAATGTATTTTAATAATGAGTTAGTTAAATATATACTGTTGTAGACTCTTCGCCATCAGTTAATGAGCTCTAATTTTTAAGAATTAACTTTAATTACCAGTCTTTTCTTCCCAGTGGCTCAGCGGAATGTCTGAAGGCTTATAGCGCTAAAAACTGGGTTTCGATACCTGTAGCGGGCACAGCTCAGACATCCCGTTGTGTAGCTTTGCGCTTAAGAACAAAAAAACAAAAAACAAATTACTGGTCTTAAATGCTTAATATTGTTTTTGTTGTTTAAACTGATAAGAATTCCAGTTTCGTTCTTCCAGATCTGAACACTGATGGACTATATCGAGTAAGTGGTAATTTAGCACAAGTCCAGAAGCTCAGACTTCGTGTCGACCAAGGTGTGTCTATATCACAGGCTATAAAGTACATTTTACTTAGAATATTCTTGAATCTCAAGATGTTAATAGTGCTTCTATCACAATTAAAACATTCTGTCTTTAATTGTACAAACTCACATTACACAAAGCAGTACTAACCTTTGTAAAGTTTAAACAATAAACTTACAATATTCTCTTCTTGTTGTGCATTAAAACCTGACACTTTTATGTATTTTATATGAACATTTTGGAGTAATTAATTTTAAAAATGGTTAAGATAATGAACAAAACCTCTTGCAGTAATAATATAACATTTAGGACTAATTCTTAAAATATTGTTTGGACTTAATGGATTGTTATAATAATATAACCTTTAGGACTAATTCTTGAAATATTGTTTGGACTTAATGGATTGTTATAATAATATAACCTTTAGGACTAATTCTTGAAATATTGTTTGGACTTCATGGATTGTTATAAT